AAAGCTTAGTTTGGCTGGATATGAAATTCCGGGTTGACAATTCTTTTCTTTAAGCATGTTGAATATTGGCCCCCACTGTCTTCTAGCTTGTAGGGTTTCTGCAGAGAGATCTGCTGTTAGTCTGATGGGCTTCCCTTTGTGGATAACCTGACCTTTCTCTCTGTCTGCCCCTTAACATTTTTTCCTTCATTTTAACCTTGGTGAATCTGACAATTATGTGTCTTGGGGTTGCTCCTCTCAAAGGAATATCTTTGTGGTGTTCTCTGTTTTTTCTGAATTTGAATGTTGGCCTGCCTTTATAGGTTAAGGAACTTCCCCTGGATGATATCCTGAAGAGTGTTTTCCAACTTGATTCCATTCTCCCCATCACTTTCAGGTACAACAATCAAATGTAGATTTGTCTTTTCACATAGTCCATATTTCTTGGAGGCTTTTTTCAGTTTTTTTCACTCTTTTTTTCTCTAATCTTTTCTTCTCATTTTGTTTCTTTGAATTGATCTTCAATCTCTGATATCCTTTTTTCAGCTTGATCACTTTGGCTATTGATACTATGTATGTTTGGTGAAGTTCTTGTGCTGTTTTTCAGCTCTGTCAGGTCCTTTATGTTCTTCTCTAAACTAGTGATTCTAGTTAGCAATTTGTCTAACCTTTTTTCAAGGTATTTAGCTTCCTTGAGTTGGGTTAGAACATGCTCCTTCTGTTGGAGAAGTTTGTTATTACCCACCTTCGGAAGCCTACTTCTGTGAAGTCATCAAACTCATTCTCTGTCCAGTTTAGTTCCCTTGCTGGCAAGGAGTTTCAATCTTTTGAAGGAGAAGAGGTGTTCTAGTTTTTGGAATTTTCAGACTTTTTGCAGTGGTTTCTCCCCATCTTTGTGGATTCATCTACCTTTGGTCTTTGATGTTGTTGACCTTTGGATGGGGTCTCTAAGTAGACATCCTTCTTGTTGATGTAGATATTATTCATTTGTTTCTTAGTTTTCTTTCTAACCATCAGGTCCCTCTGCTTCGGGTCTACTGGAGTTTGCAAGAGGTCCATCCTAGATCGTGCTTGCCTGGGTATCACCAGCAGATGCTGCAGAACAGCAAAGATTGCTGCCTGTTCCTTCCTCTGGAAGCTTTGTCACAGAGGGACACCCTCCAGATGTTAGCCAGAGCTCTCTTGACTGAGGTGTCTTTTGGTCCCTACTGGGAGGTGTCTTCCAATCAGGATACATGGGGGTCAGGGACCCACTTGAGGAGGCAGTCTGTCCCTTATCAGAGCTTGAACGCTGTGCTGAGAGATCTGCTGCTCCCTTCAGAGCCGTCAGGCAGGAACATTTGAGTCTGCTGAAGCTGTGCCCCTTTCTACCCTTTCCCCCAGATGCTCTGTCCCAGGACGCTGGGAGTTTTATCTATAAGTCACTGACTGGAGCTGCTGCCTTTTTTTCACAGATGCCCTGTCCAGAGAGGAGGAGTCTAGACAGTCTGGCCGCAGAGGCATTGTTGAGCTGCAGGGTGTTTGGCCCAGTTAGGACTTCCCAGTGGCTTTGTTTACACTGAGAGGGTAAAATCACCTACTCAAGCCTCAGCAATGGCGGATGCCCCTCCCCTGACTAAGCTTGATTGTTCCAGGTCAACCTCAGACTGCTGTGCTGGTAGTGAGAATTTCAAGCCAGCAGATCTTAGCTTGCTGTGCTCTGTGGGGGAGAGACTTACCAAGCCAGATCACCTGACTCCCTGGCTTGAGCCCTCCCTTCCAGGGGAGTGAAGGGCTCTGGCGCTCCAGGTGCCACTGGAGTATGGGAAAAAAAAAAAAGCTCCTGCCCTAGCTCAGTGTCAGCCCAGAGGGACACCCAGTTTTCTGCTTGAAACTCAGGGCCCTGGTGGTGTAGGCACCGGAGGGAATCTCCTGGTTTGCCAGTGCGAAGAACGTGGGAAAAGTGCAGTATCTGGGCCAGAATGCACCATTCTTCCTGGTACCGTCTCACGGCTTCCCTTGGCTAGGGGAGAGAAATCCTCCAACCCCTTGCACTTCCGGGAGGATGCAATGCCCCACCCTTCTTCAGCTCGCCCTACGTGGGCCACACCCACTGTCCAACCAGTCCCAGTGAGATAAACCGGATACTTCAATTGGAAATGCAGAAATCACCCACCTTCTGCATCAATCTTGCTGGAAGCTGCAGACCGGAGCTGTTCCTATTCCTAAAAGTTTATTCTTAATGTCTAGCTCATATTACAGAAATCTGCCTGGGATCACCCACATCAAAAGCACTTAGCATATGCCAGGTACTGGTCCTAGAGCTGAAGATGTAGCTGGAAATAAAATGCAGTCCCTGACCTTAGAGGACTTACCATCTGGTATGGTGAGAATATGAGGAAAACAATTTAGTCTATTAAATGTTAAGACAGAATTAAATTTGTGTATGCCACACATTCACTATAAGTACTAGGACCTGTCAAATCTGGATTTCCAAAAAATGAAATAAGAAGAAAAAGCCAGTCCATTTTTTGTTCTATAAAGCCTCTTGTAGGATAGGGATTTGTATCATGTGCTTCATTTGGTTGCTGGCAATATGTGAGATACCAAAATCAATAAGTTAAACTGTTAGTGGAAATGTAAATTAGTTCAGCCATTATGGAAAACATTACGGAGGTTCCTCAAAAACTTAAAAATAGGACTACCATATGATCCAGCAATCCCACTACTGGGTACCTATCCAAAGGAAAGGAAATCAGTATGTTGAAGATTTCTCTGCCCTCCCGTGTTTACTGCAGCACTCTTCAGAGGAGGCGAGATGCGGAATCAACTTAAATGTCATTCAGAGGGTGAATGGATAAAGAAAATGTGGTGTATATATACACTACCACACACACACACACACACACACACACATGCACACACACAGACACACAGAATGTTATTCAGCCTTAAAATAAGAAGGAAATTCTGTCATTTGCAACCATATGGATGAACCTGAAGGACAATACATCAAGTGAAATAACCCAGGCACAAAAAGATAAATACCATGTTTTTACTCATATGTGAATGCTAAAAAAAAACTTGCTCTCATAGAAGTAGAACAACTGCAAGTTCCCCTAGCAGAAGTCATTACTAGAGCCAAGGAAGGGGGAGACAGGGGAACAGCCAAAGGCTGGCTGAGGGAGACAAAAGTACAGCTAGACAGGAGGAATAAGTTCTAATGCTCTGTTACTATGGGGGGGGGCGCTATATTAACACTTTATCGTATATTTTCAAATAGCTAGAAGAATGGATTTTGAATGTTCCCAACACAAGGAAATGATAAATGTTTGATGTTATCGATACACTAATTACCCTGATTTGCTCATTACACAATGTATATATGTATCAAAATATCATACGGTATCCCATAAAGATGTAAAATTTGTACGTGTCTATTAAAAATAAGAATAATAGAATCAAAATCAATAAATTGAGTAATTTGTTAGAGGCAAATGCCCATATATCAGTAATTCAATCAGCCATTCCTTCATTGATGTGACAGAAACTTGACAGACTTGATGCTAGGAAAGTAAGTTAAGAGGTGAAGATAAATGGACATATAGAAAAATAATTAGGCTGACTTTTTGTACCTGTGACCATGGATGAGTGACTTAATCTTTCTGAGCCTCAGATTCCTCAGTTACAAAGTGAGATTAAAAATAACGATACCTATCTCATGAGAGTGATTATAAATGAGGTTTTTTTATATGGAGCACCTGGCATAGTGCCTGAATCCCTGTAGATTCTTAACAAGTTTCAGCAATTTTTCTATCCTGCTATTATATAAGAGAAATTTGAGGCTCAGTGCAATGAATAACTTACTCAACCAGGACACTACATAACTAGAAGATAAACACAAGCATGTGGTATAAAGTACATGAGTCTTGTTTGAGACTGGAAAGATTAATTCTGCCGATGGAGTCTGAGACAGAATCAGGAAGGAAAATTTAAACCAATTACATGGATGGCTTTTCAAGTATTGTCCATAAACATATATTTGGAGACTTGGAGCAAAGTTTTTAAAAAGTCCGTCAACTGCTGACTTTAGCGTAGACATCTGCAGCTCTACCATCTGATCTCTTCTTCACTAGTATAGCTTCCTTCATCTTTACGACATTATGCTGGTTAATCTTTAATGACAAGGATCAACACCAGTTTCCCAATCCTGACTTTCTAATAATTTTCAGAACTAGCAGGTGAGAAGAGGGGAAAGAACTGCCTTGATATATTCTCCTATCATCACTCCCTCTAAAGTAAGAAGAGTGTATTTCTTTAAACCATGTAACTTTGCCAGCATAGCTGAAACAGAGAACTTCCCTAGAACTTGAGTGTCAAAATGATTCATTCATTACTTACTCCTCCACAAGATGTTTATTTTATTTTATTTCATTTCATTGTTTTATTTTGAGATGGAATCTCACTCTGTCATCCAGGCTGGAGTACAGTAGTGCAATCTCAACTCACTGCAACCTCCGCCTCCCAGAAGCAGGTTCAAGCAAATCTCCTGCCTCAGCCTCCTGAGTAGCTGGAATTACTGTACAGGCATGTGCCACCACGCCCCACTAATTTTTTGTATTTTTAGTAGAGACAAGGTTTCACTGTGTTAGCCAGGATGGTCTCAATCCCCTGACCTCATGATCTTCCCACCTCAGCGTCCCAAAGTGCTAGGATTACAGGAGTGAGCCACGGCACCTGGCATGCAAGATGTTTATTTTGTTTATTACATGACACTGTCCACAAACTGGAAGCATCTTTTCAATGGAAAAAAATCCTCCAAGTAAAACCCTGAGAAGATCATTAGAGTCCTAAGATGGATAATTTCTTTCTGATTTTCCTTGTGTAACTAAAATACCTATGTAACTCTATTTTAAGAAATAAGGCTTATCATAAACATCAGTTTATGATATAAAATAATATGTAAAAATTGTCTTAGTATAACTTTATTATGAATTATCTGAATATAACCTCCATCTCTTTTTTTCTCTTCCATTCAACAGAATGCTACAGCTTTCCATGTAACTGTCCAAGACGATAATAACATCATTGTCTCATTAGAAGCTTCAGACGTCATCAGTCCAGCATCTGTGTATGTTGTGAAGATAACTGGTGAATCCAAAAATTATTTCTTCGAATTTGAGGAATTCAACAGCACTTTGCCTCCTCCTGTTGTTTTTAAGGCCAGTTATCATGGCCTTTATTATATAATCACTCTGGTAGTGGTAAATGGAAATGTGGTGACCAAGCCATCCAGATCAATCACTGTGTTAACAAGTAAGCATCATGTGTAAAATTGTCCCCTGTTTCTTCTTAGAGTATATTCCCGTGGGGCTCTAATTGAGGCAGTCCACCAAGAATGGCAAAATCTCCTGCCTTGATGCAAAGTGACATTGATTCAAAGTTCTATGCTTTATTGAGAATATAGCATCTTGCTGAAGTTTGATGTTTACTGTTTGCATTGTGTTAAACAAAAATATTTTTAAATCAAAAAAGTAAATCTCAATGAAGTAGTACATTTTGAGAGTAAGTGACAATTTCAAATTCATGATTGGAAGGTGTAATTTTCTGCTGTATTGCTTAATAATGTCATCATAACTTGTCTATTTTTTCTAGAGCATGTATTCTCATATTAAGCAATTCAGTTTGGAGGACAACGAACTGATACTCCTATTTATCCTGCCCAAATTCAAGTAGAGGTCTTTGACTGAGACATAGAAAAAGATATCTTTTTTCATCAGTTGTTATTCCCCACCTCATCTTCAAAATAGCTTTGCCTTCTACTTCTCAAGAAAAAAAATGACAAGAAAAAAAATTAATAGCAATTTAACTTTCATTAGTCCATGTCATAAAGAGTGAATGCTGACATTCGGAAATTTTAGGAATAGTTTTAACTTCATGTGATATTTTTCACTTTACTAGCTGACTTTAATATCTAATCTCAAAATAAGATGTGAATCTACTGTCTATGTTAATATATGGAAGAAAAACTGATTATTTATAAGACAGTAGAGTTTATCCCCAGCACAATGTAATGGCTCAGCAAAGTACTTTATGCTTATGTTCTTCAGTCCATCTTTTTCAACAGCTGCAATTTGTTAAATGCCATCTATGTGTGATTGTTCTGGTGATAACTAAGGAAAAAGACAGTGATATTGTATGTTGGCATACAAGGAAACAGAAACTACAAGGAGCAAAAACTCAAAACCAAGCTAGAGGGTATATTCTTAACATGTCTGCCAAAAATTAATTCAAGTCTCCATTGGCAGAGTCCCAGGATCAGTAGTGAGTCCTAAAAATTAGGAATGGCATAGACCCAAGACCTTCAAAGTTTATAGGCATAATGGACAAATGTATTAATTGAATTAAAGGGAGAATTTACCTTGTAAAATACTATCTGAAACAAGCTCTAGAAAAAGATGAATTGCAAGTCAAATTTAGGCAGCAGATATAGGTACATAATGCCTACAATACAAACTCCTTAAAATCAAAAGCTCTTATCTTCATAATTTCATGCTTAATAGATGATCCATAAATATTAGTTTGATTTAGTTGAGCAAGTAATAGGAGAGATCTAGGGGGGAAAAACTAAGGCACAGAGAAAAATAAATTTAGGACTATAATGACAGTTGCTGATCCAACATTTATGAGCATGTACTCAGCCATCCCTAATCAGTTGCAGCTGGAGGATTCAGCCCTTTAGCTAACTGTGAAGACATGTGATAAATCAATGTCTTGATTTATCAGGTAAATCAGGTAAATCAATCCTAAAAGATTTCTAGGATATCACTTAGCATTTGCAATGAGTTCCATTCAAAATGTATTATATTTTCCTTTGTGATGTTTTTCTTTGAACTGTAGGGCATACAAGTGTGTTGAATGTCAAAAAAAAATGGAAATTTTGCAGACGTCTTTTTTTATTGATTTGTAGAGGAAGTACTGTTGTGATCAGATCACATTTTATATGATTTCATTTACTTGAAAGTTGTTGATATTTGTTTTATGGACCCAAATATGGTCTTTCTTTCTGTGTATTCTGTGAGCACTTTCTGGGTGAAGTTTCAATAAGTGTAAATCATATCAAGTTGATTGTTCAAGTCCTCTATATCCTTACTGATCTTCTGTTTCCTTGTTCTAATAATGACTGGTAAAGGAATCTGAAAGTCTCCACCTGTCACTGTAAATTTGTCTATTTCTCCTTTCACTTCTTTTGGTTTATGCTTTACATATTTTGAAGCTCTGTTGTTATTAGGTGCAAAAACTTTTAGGATTGCTGTGTCTTCTTGCTAAACTGAACCATCTGACTACATGTAATGTCCCTCTATATGCCAAGCAATATGCCTCGTGTTCATGTCCCTTTTGTCTGATATTAAAATAGCCATTTTAGGTTTTTTTAAGTGTTTGTGTGGCATGCTTAATCCATCATTTTGCTTTCAGTCTACTTATGTCTTTACACGTGAAAGGGTTTCTTATAGACAGCATAGAGTTGAGTCTTGCGTTTTTTTTTCCAATCTAAAAATCTCTGTCTTTTAACTGGAATATTTAGGACAGCGCTACCTAATAAAAAGAGAATGTTAACCTCATATGTAATACTAGGTTTTCTGGTAGACACATTAAAATTCTTTTTGAAAAGTTGAAATTAATTTTAATAACATAGTTTACTTAATCCACTACATTCACAATATTATTTCAGAATATAATCAATATACAAATTTATACACTTTTTACTTTCAAACATAAATTTAAGTAAAAATAAAGCTGCACTAGCCTAATTTTAATTGCTCAATAGCAACACGTAGCTAGTTGATACCAATTTAAATAGTGCAGGTTTAGACAATATACATGTAATTATTAATATTATATTATAATACAATTATTTATATGGTTGAATTTGAATTTACCATATTGCTAGGCTGTTAGGTAGAATGGGGAGTGAGTCAATCTACTCAATAGTTGAGCTGGGTTAAAGGCATTAGATACCTTCCGCTCATCATAGATTTCTAACTCTTCCCATGGTAGGCTGCCAGGACTGGTAGAGGGTATTTCTCAGTGTTCCAGTTCCACCCTCAGTAAGCATCAAACCCTGAACACCTGCACCACAGAAGAGCTCCCCCAGCAATAGACTGCTGTTACTTTTCTCTCATTGCTAAGTTTTTGGTGGGGACAGAGGGTATCCTTGGTTCTCATGGTCCAGCCTCAGACTTAGGCAGACCCTGTGATGCTAGATGGGTCATTCTTGACATTTTTACCCCTCAAATTACACTGACACTGAAATTCTACTTTAAATCTGTGGGTCAGAGAGTTTCCTGTCTCTTCTCCAGTGGTAGCAGAACTACTGATACTCTACTTTGTATCAGTGTAGGACTCTGGGCCCAAAAGAGTTTCTTCTCCTCTCCCAGAAACAGGAGTCTTTTGCTTCTATTCATCCTTCAAAAGAAGTCATCTTTTCCTGAGAACTAGAAAGGAAAGATTTTTCTGCCCCTCCACAATACATTAAGCTTCTTATTTATATTCAAGAAAGGTCCAGGGAAGTAAGTGTTCTTGCTGGCCTCTTCGTGGTTTCAATTACCATCTGCATGCCTTTTGCCCAGCACCCCAATCCCCAACCCAAAAGAGGAAGACTCTCTCCAGTCCCCTGTCTTGCCTCTGGTAGTCCTCATGAGTATGGGGTAGAGGCCCAAAGGGAAAGCTAGAGAGAAATAGTATACTTCGTTTGTGTCTGCCTCTCCCAGTTAGTCTAGACCAGTGGTGATCTAGAACTTTTGGATGATGGAAGTATTCTATAACCGTATTGTCCAACATAGTAGCCACTAATTTTTAATTTTAATTAGTTTGAATTCATTTAAAATTTGAATTAAATAGCTCCATGTAGCTAGTAACTACCATGTTGGACAGAGCAATGCTATGCATCCATTTAGACCATACTTAATCTTTATGAATCCATTAAAATCGGAGCTGTTTTCTTCCTACATGCTTCAATGTTGCATCCTCTTCCTGCTGTGCTTTGCCGAAGTGAAATCATATGTCCCCTCTCTCCAGAGGGGCTGGTCACTCCTTGGAATTCACATCATTTGGTTGACTTGCTATCTCACCTCTCCTGTAACCTCAAGAATAGTTATAATTTCGTGGATTACTTGGCTTTTTCTTCTTGAGGTGGAGAAGAAGTGATGTTGTCCTGGGGCTTTTTACATCTTAAGGGGAAGAGGAAACACGTACTGATTTCTAAAGAGTAAAATTATTTAATGATGGCCTATCAAATATCATTTTGTACTCAATTTTTAAAGGCTCAATTTCATTATCCCAAATTTAAGGAGCAATAATAGGTTGAGCATGTAAGAAGTGGGGATTAGTGCACAAATTATTTCTGTGACATTAGGCATGAGCTGGCATTTGGTGACATTTGGGTACAGCTTCCACCTTCATTAAAAAAGGGAATTAACATACATGATGACTAAGATTACTTTTGAGCTCTGAAACTAACATTATTTGTCAGTTAATGATGTATTTTTGCCATCTTTATTTTTCTAACTGAAAGCTTTTTAAACAAGTTTGGAAAACATTTGTAGTAGCTGCTCACAGAGTTGACACATTTCTCTTGAGAATAAAAGAGTACCTTTGTAGCAGTCATTTACTGTGTGTTAGATGCTTGTCTTGATGAAATCAGCGATGACAAAGCAATTGGCCCCAGGGCAGTCCTTTGATATTTTGCTATAGTTGTTCTGAGTCTGTCACTCTTAGAGAAAGCTGAAAAACATGACAAAGAATAAATTTGGCACAGCAGAGTCATTTGGCCAGCTCAAAAGAGTTTCACAGCGCTTAGGGTCTGACATCTCATTAATATTTAATTGATTGAGAACCTTCAGTATATTGCATGCACTTCAGAAGGAAGAGGTAGTTTCTCAGCAGGTAAAAGGATAACTGGAATCAGTTGCTTAGAAATTGAGGAAATGTCACATACACACAGCTGTGTCATGTGTCAGTGAAGTTCTACAGAATAGTAGCTGTACACATTAAATAATACACATGAAGACACTCTACAAATACAATATTCTGTACAGATCTATTCTAAATAAAAATAATTCATGAGTTTTTATTTTACTTATCAGGTACATGCTCTGTGCCATCTCCTAGATACCAAAGAAATAAAGATAAATGAAAATACTTATAATCAAAGATGTTATACTATAGTGGAAGAAACAAATACCATCACAAAAAATATGATAACAGTTATTGTGACCAGAAAGGGGGCCCAATCCAGACCCCAAAACAGGGTTCTT